AATCTTTCCCATTATAGATATTAAACTTGAGGTCATGCTAAGAATTTTTGTCTATAATTATAAAAATATTCTGTATTTTCTTCTAACACTTCTTGAGGTTTTTTAAAAATCCATCTAAATCTTCAGTCCTTCTGGAGTTATTTTAGGTTTCAGTATGAAATAGGGGTTTACTTTCATTTTCCTCCAAATGAATAACCAGTTATCCTAACTATGTTTCTTGGCTAAAAGATTCTTTATGAATACCACCTCGATAATTCTTTATCAATTTTAAAGGCCAACTTGTCATATAATAAAATTCTGACTTATATTTTAATTCTACTGCTATCTGTGTCTTTTCTTTTACTAGTTAGTTGCGTAATCGATATCTTGGTCAACAACATAGAAAAGTGTTATATGCCTAAGAAATATATCGTTAAGTTTCTTACTAAAAATAATAAGCCTGATTCCCTGGGAAATTAAGTGTAGGAAAGTCTTCAAGCAAAATTAGGCTGAAGTACAAACACAAGTATGAAAGGTTTTCATGGAAAATATAATCTGCTTAATACAAATTCTCTTTACCCAAAACTTTGCAGGTGTGAATCTGTTCCATTGTGACAAGCTGTCCCAACACCACAAATTTATAGTAAACGCCTGCTTTTAGCCCTAAACAATAAAGGAACTCTGTGATCAGATTTTTAAAATTTTGAGACAGAAGCAAATGATAAGAAAATTACCTTAAAGACTTTATTTTAAAAGACTGTATTTAAAACAGAACCAAAAAACTAGAGTTTCCAAGATCTCTGCACCTCTGGAGATTAAAAACTGACTTTTGCGCTGAGACCCAGAGACGCCATGAAGACCTGATAACCCTCATCAACGAGATTAAACTCTATTTTGCACAGTTTTAGGGCTACATACCTCATTGCTGTTCGCCTCTTTGCATTTTATTTATTCAACTGATTGCACACAGGGAATTTACCATAACTCTGTGAAACGCCAGGGCGCTGTCACACTTAATAATTCTCATGGATTTTCATCCTCAACATGTCAGAGCCCAGATTTTCATCTGCCATTGTGCAGGCGCCTCTATGAGAGAACCTGTGGCTTGTCGGGGACAGAGTGTGGTTAGAGGGCCTCCCCTCCCAGCTGGTTTTGTGTACTACAGTTGTGGAACTCAGCAAGGCTGGAACCAACTGTGCATGTGAGAGTGTATGTTTCTGGCCATGATGCTATAGACCTTGGCACTATCCCTCCAGGTTTCTAGATTATTTTCACAACTATTAAGACCGCATATCTATCCTGTCCAGAACTGTGGAGAACTTGACATCCCGTGAGCACTTCTCTGCTCAGACACAACCCAGGAGAATCCCTGATGTGTTTGGGAACATGGTTTCCCTTTCTCTGTAGCTATGGGTGTCCCCTGCCAAAGAACTTTAGAAAGAAAACAAGGCAGGAGATTTTGAAAGTGCAAATACATATCTTTAGATTGGGTAGAACATAGTTTCATAAGGTGTGGCCTTAAGCAAAACAGAGAATTCAGTGATATTTGTCCTGGGGATGCGGCTCGTCTACTTTCTGAGTCTTTCACCCTTGTGACACACACCCCTACCACTGTTATGCCCTTTAATCCCCAGTACCCTCTTGTTCCTTCCGGTTCATACTTGCTCCCAACGAAAGTGCTAAAATCAGTCACTTATACCCCACTTTGAATGAATGTGTTCATTTATCTTTTCTAAGAGGATATTTGCATTCTTCTAATTGTGGAATGAATGATATCAGAGGGTATATGGATGTAAAAGTATGATGCTCCCTTTCCCCTCAGCACAACAAAAGATAAACTCTGTAATGGGGACCCTGCCTTGTTCTTTAAAAAAATTAAAGAAATTTACTGTCTTTTTAGAGAAGCAAGACACACATACCTTTAAGGCATGTCAGCAACAATCCACATCAACTTGTGGTCGTGCACAAAATAGGAGTGTTTGCAACTCAAGCTGCTAAAACTGAACATACATTCCCATTTTAAATCTTAACGCTTAGTTCTACTGTTTTGCAAATTAAGTAACTAGAGCAAGAAACGCTAAATAATTTGCTCCAAGTTATACTATTTGTTAAGAGTGGAATAAAGTACTATGTGGTCCTTGTTGTAAAATTGTTTTTAATATTGGTTATGATTGGATAATTACTAGTGGTTTTATTATCGAAAAAAAAGAACATAACAAAAGGCTTGTCCTAATATTCTGATAAATTTTAGAATGTATTTTTACCTATTTTTGTTACCTGTCTTATGTCTATGATTTCCAGCCTATATGTGTAACTATCAGCTTTAGTTTGATGGGTATGGCCATCAAAAAGCCAAAGTCATCATTTCTCCACTCCTCTCCCACCTCGACCTTCTTTCCAAACCTCCTTCAATCACTTCCCATCATGGAGTCTCTGGCATGGGTGGATTACATAGGATATCAGGTTTACATAAGTGGATTTTTCATGAAAAAGAAAAAAATGGAAAAGAAAAATTAAGAATTTTCAAGGCCTTTCAGTCAGAAAATACAGTGTCGCTTTATATTTATTTGGGGCAAGGAGCAGAGGAGATGGTTTTCAGGGCCAATTTTTGGATTTTTCAGAGTCTGAGGAGGGAGTTAAACTGGGAAGTACTTCCCAGACATATACTGGTTCAGTCAAAGCTTAAATGAATTCATCCTAAAGTGAAAGTAAATTTAATCCTCTCAAGAATATTTTTATTTTAAGAGATTGCTAAGGCTAATATATTACTAATTAGTGGAAACCTTGAGATGATATTTTTAACAAGTATCCTTGGTGGAGCCTTCTTTATTTCAGTCACTCTACCTCCCAGGCACACCCGAAGAATAGGGGGTACTGTGTTATGATCCATAGAGAGAACGGTGAGCTTTGAGTCAGAAAACCTGGAGTTTGAGACTCAGCGAATCACCTCAATTTCTATAGTTACCAAGAGGCTGACCTCTGTTGTCACTGCTCGTTGCTTTTTCCACTCTCTGTTCCTTTATTTAATCCTCTTCAGAAAATAGAATATTGAAATCAGAGTTTTCCCCATGTGAAGGGGAAAACATATCCACTTAACAGGTAGTACTGGTGATAGTAATACACTTTCTAAGGAATCAAATCATAGCTATTGGGCTTACCTGGTGATTCCCCTCTTCACATCACAGCCCGAGGGAGCCCTTCCTCCAGTGTACTTGTGGCTCAATCACTTCTTACGCTGCTTGGGAAGACGATTTTAGCATCTGAACCAGGACAGCTCACTGGCACGCATACAGTCCACTGATTGATGAGCAACTCTGGTGCACGTCGCTGCCCTTGCGGCAGACAAGCCCAGGACACACCCCCTTCAAGAAGGAAAAGAGAAATATTTTTCTGCTGACTCTCCCTCACCCTCGAGTCAATATCAGGCCTGGTAAGAGGAAGGAGTGCAGAGACCAAGTCCTAATGATTCTTCCAGCAAACAGAGACGAATTGCTGAAATCGCAGAAGGGAAATGGGAGAACAGTGCTCTAGAGGAATGCGGAACACTTCTGTCCTAGATCAGTTTGCTACAAAATGCCACTCTGTCAGGCTCTCATGTCCAGCCTCTGGACATCCGGGGTCATACCCCATAAATCCGAAGGAATGCATCCCTTCATTCTTAATTCCAGTTGGGAGAGTGGGAGGTAATTCCAGTGGAGTGGGGGTAGGGGTAGGTATTATTTTTCCTTTTCCAACTTTCTCACTTAAGTCTGAAGAATCAACTTGCTACTTTCCCAAAGGAACCTCGGACTTCTGAGTGGGATAACGTGGAAAGGGGGACGGCAAAAGAGAGCAATGATGTGTGTGCCAAGGGTGAATGTTTTTAGTATGTACTTTGTCCTTAGAAAACCTAAAGCTAAACCTTATTAATTTCTTTAATAAAGGTTTCTTTCCTTTCCAAGGAGTCACCCAACTTGAAAACTAACACTCCATATTTACAAATGACTTGAGATGGCTTACAATGCTAATGCATAAAATAAAATGATATTAGAACAGAAATTCTTTTTTCTGTTTCTTTAATTCTATGAGAACTATAAAAGTTCTGTATAAACTACACGAATTATAAAAAGAGAAGCTATAAAAGAAGAGAGTCAATGAAGAAAAAGAATGCAAATAGAAACCTACGAAGTATCTACACTGTTTTGTAAATTTGAAACTTAACTCTGAGACAGAGCTTCCTAGCAGTCAAAGAAAAGAGGAAGCTACTCAGGCCCATTGTGCTTGTTACCAGAAAAGAGGAAGCATCCATCTTCTCAGCAAGAATAAAATGGTCTTTGGAGCACTAAATTCTAATAGAAATATCTTTTTTAGTGAATAACATTCCCAATCACACTGGAGCCCATAATTTCATGTTGAAGACCTTTAGTGCCAAGCATGTCTAAATACAATGTGACCCTCTTGTTTCCAACACCAGCTGGACCAATTGGTCCATATCATAACTCTTCATGATCATGTCTGGATCTGGTCCAATGGGAAAGTTGTCAAGAGAATGAGGCCTTCCTGACAACCCCCAATTATCCAAGGGCATCAATTACTGCTCCTTTGTCCCCTACCAGCCTGGGCAGAATAGAGCTGATCTCATAATTTGGCCAACTTAATTCTATTCTCCTCATGTGCCATTTCTGCAAAGTTTTGACTGTTTTCAGAATCTATCAATTGTAAATGGAGACCAAATTTCCATTCAATACAGAGTCAAGGACTTCTGGAAATATATACTCTCACTTGATTGATCCAATGTCTGATGTCCTAGGAGTAGATGCTGTCTTCTCAGTTCAGTGCTGCCCTTTTCCTACTGTCTGTATTAAAATGCAAGTGCGTGTAGGTGCAGATAAGCCACCCTAGTGGGAATGTGTTTATAAAATGAGACTAATAATCTATGAATTTTTTGTTGCTGATGGTGCCATCAAGTTGACTTCAACTCCTAGTGACCCTGTGTACAGCATGGAGGAACACTGCCAGTATTTTTGCACCATCCTCTCACCTTCCCGCGCTGTATCAGACAATGCTCTGCTGCTATTCACAGGGTTTTCATGGCCAATTTTTTGCAAGTGGGTGGCCAGGTCCTTTTACTACTCTATCTAGTCTGGAAGCTCTGCTGAAATCTGTCCACCATGGGTGACCCTGTTGGTATTTGAAATCCTGGTGTCATAGCTTTCAGCGTCACAGCGACATATAGCCACCACAGTCTGACACTGAACAGATGGGTGCTGTGGTTCCCTGATTGTGAAGCAAACCTGGGCCGTGGTGGCAGTGATAGCGCCAAATCTTAACCATCAGGGTGGCTAGAATGTACTAATTGCTTAGGAGTAATTGGTTGGGGGTGAGGAGGAGGAGGAGTAAGGAAGCAGTGGAAGGGCATACAAAATGGCCAATCAGTGTGGAACTTCATGTGGTAAGGGCTTGAAGGTCAAATGGAAGCTCCATTACTCACCTCCAGCTCACTGTGTCTTGAAGCCCAGCAACTTCCTAGGTACTGGCGTATGGCCCTCAGAGCCAAAGGGATCCCTACAGTTTCTTCTTGGATCAAAAACACTTTAGCAGATACTAGAAAATTAGGCAACCAGTAGACATCAATGATTTCATGAGTATATTGGTTTTGGGGAAAATCTGAATCCAAACAAATGGACGCATTTCATAATTCATTAATTCCATATTTAACAGAAGGAGATCATAGTATGCCCAATATTTAGGGTGTTTCACAAATAGGGTGTGCTTTTGAATTACTGATGACTCACCAATAAGCCACTTACTCACCCCTTCTAGTTCCCTCCTAATAATCTGTTAAAGCATGTATGCTGAATTCCTCAATACTTCCTGGTTAGGTTGTGGAGCTCCCAGGCCCTGCACAGGACAGAGAGCAAAAGGAAGCAGCATGCATTTGAGCACTGGGGCAGCACTGTGACATATCATTGTTATGAGCCCCAGAAAAGATAACCTTCTGGAAGGCAGAGCTAAGGAAGTATCGCTCCTATAGTGTGATCGTAGTGTTCCTTCTGCCACAAAATCTCACACTAACTCACCTATGAAGCAGGAACAAGGTGTTCACCTCAGTGTATGAAGGCAGCTAAACAAATGTGTTTTGGTCCATCTGGTCTACTTTACATTTCTTTCTCTGGTGATCTTGATCACAGAGCTTCCTTGGCTTGGCCAGGCCCAGGATCCTACAAACGCCGGAAGAAGAACAAGAAGGAAGATCTAGGGCTGAGGAAGAGTTCAAGCCTTCTAATTTCATCTGTTTGTTTGTGCTGGTTTCATGAACAGTCTGATGGCTCGATTTCCCAGCAAAAGAGCAGAGTCACATGAATAAACAGCAACAAACCTGAGGTCCCGGAGAAAGGAACTGGCAAACATGATGATGTTATTGGAACTAGTATCTAAACCTTATCACGTCACCAAACTTTCCCTGAGCAGCTCCAGGGTGTGAGGCAGCATCTGAATTAGACAGATCAGCAGGAACAGCTGGGGAGGACATGATCCCACCCAGAGCAGATGGACCCTGGATGGCAGTGTCCATCCATCAGAAGTGCTGGACATTCTTTGAACTCCGAAGAAGCTCAGATCCCACCTTGAATGATTTGGGGATTCAAGGGTGCGATCAGCCCTGGGCTGTTTCAGGTGGCTTTAAAGATTTTATTTATTTATTTATTTTTTTCCCCAAAGCCCCAGTAGATAGTTCTATGTCTTAGCTGCACATCCTTCCAGTTGCTGTATGTGGGACACGGCCTTAGCACGGCAGGAGAAGCGGTGCGTTGGTGCGCGCCTAGGATCCGAACCCAGGCCACCAGCAGCGGAGCGCGTGCACCTAACCGCCAAGCCACGGGGCCGGCCCTCAGGTGGCTTTATCCCAGCATTGTGAAGTGGCTAAATGCAATAAAAAAATATTTAAGGAATAATTTAAAATAAACCTGAAAGGAGGAATAAAGAGGGGGAGAGTTGAGTGCAAAATGTAAATTATAGTGAGGTTTTCCTAATATGATAAGACAATCAAAACCAATGTAATCTCTTAACTCTCAGAACTAGGACTTGAAAGAGAGGTGGGTGGGAATGATTGGACTATTTGAGGACAAAGCTTGGTCCATGTGACTCATGAGAAACTGTTTTGGGTGGGGGCGGTGGCATTGCATAATAATCGTATTGCGATTTAGCATTAAAATAAAGGACATTCAAATAAACAAAGGGACAGTTCACAGAAGTGTAGGCAATCTTTTCCTACCCATATCAGAGACAAGTGTAACAATCTACAAGCAGGGGAGCAAATTAGAGGACGAGATGAACCATGAAGCACTTAGAATCAGCTCACATTTACTGAGCACTTAAGTTCCAAGTACCGTTCTGAGCAGTTTCCATGTGCTCCCAGCAACCTGTGAGGCAGTTACCACTCATCCCCATTTTATAGATGAGGAAATCGAGGGACAGAACAGTTAAGTAAACGGTGGGCCAGGGCACCAACTGCCTTCAAAGTCTGTTTTCTTAACCTACACTCTACTGCTTCTCAAAGACAATGACGTGGGCGAATAGAAGGATCCAACCCTTGCAAAATAACCAAAGAAAAGGCAAAGCCAAAGTTATGTCTCTGGCACTAACGAGACTGCATTCTTATCATCCAATCCTTCCGTAATAAACTGGAGAGCCACCGAAGCCCTACGGGATCCATATTTCTGTTTCATTCAACAAGTAAACTTCAGGCATCACTAAATTCAAGGCCCTGGGTAAATTGAACAGATCCAGGCAAGATTCCGTCCATTGCCTTTAATCAATTCAGAAAGTACAGTATATGAATATCAGAGATGACACTGAGAAAAGAAAGATATGGGCTATAAAAGTAATGAGCTTTTTTTGGTTTTTCTGTCACTCTGCCTGTCTTTAAAATAAGAATTATACAGAACCAAGCAGCCCACCTCTCCAGCTCAGCAGATGCTCCTAGGGTCCCACAGAAGGCACAACAACGAGCACCGAAGCACATCTCCTGTGTTCATTTGATGTGTAGGAATTCACACCAGATCAGGGCAGCCTCAGTAGGGAAGTTTAACCCGACACAGCTTACAAGAATCCTGCTTTTACTATGCAGGTTAGAGTCCCAGACCCTTAATAGCAAGACACATTTCTGCACTGACCTAAAGCAGCAGAGAAAAGTAACACAAACAAGGCTTCTGGAGAACAGTCACGGATCTGCTGGGTTAGAGGCTAAAACCCAACAGACTGTCACTCGGTGCCCCAAGGGTGCATTCCTGTGGATGACAAGCTCTTCTAGAACAAAATAAATCTGATTCCATCCCTGGGCGCTTTGACTTTGTGGCTGTTCTCAACTTCCTCCTGAGGACAAACATCTGAAGAAGATGTGGCCTGAGATTAAGACATTCTTTTTTGCTTAAGTGTTGTTTCTGTTGAGTAAACTGCAAATTGAGCCCAAGGCTGCAGAATATCCTTTAAGCAAAGGGAGACATCTAGTGGCCAAAATTCACAATGTGGAGGAGGCCACCTGTTTACAAAATCACTGTAGGTGCAATGATTTAGTTGCTGTGAGGGTGCACTGGAGGACTTGGCAGGGAGAGGGGAGAAAGAGGGAGTGGTCTAAACCAGGTAACCTCTGAGACCCTGAACTACTTCATCCAGATGTTTGGTAGGGCTTCTACTTGCAGCAGAGTTCATTTATTCATTCAACAAGCATTCATATTAACTGTCTACTAGGTGCAAGACCCTGTGCTAGGCCTTGGGGACCTCATAATTTATAACACAGCCTTCAAGGATCCTATTGCTTAATAGAAAGACTAGGCCACCAACAATCAGTTGAAATCATTGTGATAAGGGCTGACCTTGGTATGGTATGGCAGCCCATAGAGAAGGCGCTTCGATGAATCTTTGAGGCTGAGAGGAAGAAATGTCTAAACCGCTTGTCTCAAACCGGCACCCTCTTGGCCCCATCTGGCCTGCAGATGTGTTTTGCTTGGCCCATGCAATGTTTTTAAAACTTTGAAATAGTTGCTAACATTTAAACATCAGGCGATTTCACATGAAAGGCCAGATTTTGACTTCTTTTGAAAAATGGGAAGATCTGGCAACACTATTTCCATATTCCTGCAGGGTGATATTAAACTGAAGTTGAGCAGAGGCTGTCAGCCTTTTTTTTTTTTTTCTTAACAGCCAAGAATTTACTTATTTCAATGAATTTTGGGTAGATTTCACATGAACAGGGTACAAAACACAAAATTACAAAAATATGTTCATTGAAAAATTCCTCCTACTGCCCTTGTTCTACAGCCAATAAATCATCATCGACAAAGCTGCCCACTGTTCCCAGTTAGAGATTGGATAAATACATATCTTTCTCTCACACCTTACACTAAAATTAATTTCATCTGGATTGAAAATTTTAAAACAGAATATGAAACTATAAAGATACTAAAAAAAAAGCAAGGGAGTTGTTGCTGTTGCACTCTAAATAATTTGTTGATTTAATAACAAAGGCCTTTCTAAATAAGAGCATAACCCAGACATCAGAAAAAGAAAAAATTGGTATTTGACTACAAAAAAAGGGAAAAAAAATTCTTCACGGCAAAAAATACAATGAACGGCATCTAAATATAAATAATTACCCGGGGGCCGGCCCCGTGGCTTAGCAGTTAAGTGCACGCGCTCCGCTGCTGGCGGCCCAGGTTCGGATCCCAGGCGCGCACTGATGCACCGCTTCTCAGGCCATGCTGAGGTCGCATCCCACGTACAGCAAATAGAAGGATTTGTATCTATGACATACAGCTATCTACTGCGGCTTTGGGGGAAAAAATAAATAAATAAAACATTTTAAATAAATAAATAAATAAATAAATAATTACCTGGAAAAATATTTTCAATTTATATCATAAATGACTTCTTGAATATGTAAACAGTTCTTGTAAATCAATAAGAAAAAGACACAACTGTTGAAATAACTTTCTAGGCCCAAGATGGAGCTGCCCCTGCATGGGGTGCCACATCAGCAACTGAAAATTAGATATTTTCATGTCCCTGTAAATGCTCCCTTGACCAGAAATGCAGTATATCCAGTCAGCCAATCCCCAAATGCCAAGCTAACCCTGGGCTCTATACTTACTTCCTTGTTACTTCTCACCCCAGGCAAGGTGGAGCGTGTGATCCTAGCCCATCAGATATTTTATATTTGTCTCTTCCTTGTTCTTTATCCCATAGAAGCTTCCTGCCTTCTGCCCCATTTTGCAGTTCTCCAAATAGAAATTGATCACTTCATGAAGTGTTAAATGAAGTTTATTTGTATGACCTAAATTGTCTTCTTTCGTCATTTTTTAACACAACCAAAGAGACACATGGACAAATGGATATTAATAAGCAAGAAAAAACAGATAAAAATAGTTCTGAAATATGTGAAAAACAAGGAAAATTCTAATAATAACTTGAAAAATGAAGAATAAAGCATTGATAAAATACTATTTTTCACGTCTCAATGGGCAAAGATTAAAAGTGTTGATACTATTGCGGCTGGTGGGCAGAAACAGGCCGTCCTGTATATCGCTAGTGAGAGCATAAATCAGTGTCTCTATCAAATTTTTAAATGTATATATCCATTGACCTAGCAATTCTATTTTCTAGAAATATACCCTACAGATATACTTGCTCTTGTGCAAAATGATATCCATACAAATATATCCAATGCAGAATTATTTGTAATATGTGAAGATTGGAAGCAACATAAAAGTCCATCAATAGGTGTGGGGGATTGCATTTGTTTAAAATACGTTTTCTGCACAAAACACAAACCTTTTTTGTTTTACGTAATTGAAATTCTGAAATTGTTACTACCACGTAACTTGCCTTAAGCTGACTAATAGGGAAATTGGTGCCAAGAGTAGGGCAAAAGCTTCCATAAGAGAAATCTGAAAATATGTGGTGTTTGTTTGTGGTCTGACTGATGGGCAGCAAGAAAACTGTTATAGGAGACTAGAATGGAAGTGATCTATGTAACACAGTAAAACAGTTATGAGAACTTGGATGGCAGATAATATGCTGAACAAGCTTGTGGCTTTGGGCAGAGAAGTTAGAATTCCTTTTAGCACAACTAGTGGCTCTCTTGACAGTGCAACTCTCTTGAAAACATGGTTGACTTTTTATCTATTTCTTTCCAATTAACTTTATGTGCCAATAGCTATGTTCCCAATTCTTTTCCAGGCAGGTACCTTGAGTGTATCAGGCTTCGGTGGGAGAGCTACACCTTTGGTCTCTTTTCCCTGAGCAATTTTGACCAAATGAAAGGATTTACTTAGAACCACTTTAATCATTCCAGATATTTAAGCAAAATGTTTTGATGGTCATACCCTTGACTTGCTCCTTGTCATGAGGCTTAGTTGTAATTGGCCTTGATCACTCAAAGGCTATCTTGGTTTTATATTTTACTAATTAGAGGCAGGAATTAGTTGCATCTTCTGTCTGGCAGGTTCTCAAATTTTTGTTCTTATTTTTTTCCCTTTTACTCCTACTTGAGAACTAGCCATTTTTCCTTGGAATACGTAGTCTAAACTAGCTGATAGCAACTTAAGCATGCTAGTAACTGTTTTTTCAATTATCCACCCATTTGTTCCAACACCATTGACTGAATAATCTGTCTTTTCCTCGTTGATTTGAGATGTCATCTTTATCAAATATTCAATTCCCATGTTTCTTTGGGTCTATTTATGGACTTTGTATTCTTTTCATTCATCTGTGTCTACTCAAGCACCAGCTCAACACTATTTGCTGAAGCTTCATAATACATTTTCATATCTAATATAATAGTTCTTCCTCATCATGCTTCCTTCTAAGAATTTTTCTTTCCATTGTCATTTAATAATTTTTCCATATAAACTTTAGAATCAGCTTGTCTGGTTCTCCCCACACACACAAACGCCCCAAAAATGTATTGATATATTTTTTGAGGTTGAGTTAAATGTATAGATAAATTTGGGGATAATTAATGTCTTTTGAATGTTGAGTTCCCCTAAGAATATGGCTTGGTTTTTGACTTGTTCAAATAAAATATTAAAGAGTAATCCTAACAAATATACAAGACCAATATGACAAAATCTTTCTAAATCTACTAAACAACACAAGAGAAGATTCCTCAGTTACATTCCAAGGCTTGCGGGGCGTGACTGCATGCTCACGTGTATCATTAAAATACAAAACAAAATTAAACCTCATGTTGAGGAAAATTTCCTCTCCGGATGATGTTCCATTGCAAGTTTACCATGCAATTGCAAAGAGGAGCTTCTGGGACAAATGGACAAAAGAAACACCTTTAAAGAGGAGTGAATTTCTTTTATAAAGAAACGGTAGGGAGCTGGCCGTTTCTTAGCAGCCGTGGCTTAGCGGTTAAGTGCGCGCGCTCCGCTACTGGCAGCCGGGGTTCGGATCCCGGGTGAGCACCGAGGTGCTGCTTGTCCAGCCATGCTGAGACTGAGTCCCACATACAGCAACTAGAAGGATGTGCAACTATGACATACAACTATCTACTGGGGCTTTGGGGAGAAAAAGGGGAGAAAAAAGGAGGAGGATTGGCAATAGATGTTAGCTCAGAGCCGGTCTTCCTCAGCAAAAAGAGGAGGATTAGCATGGATGTTAGCTCAGGGCTGATCTTCCTCACAAAAAGAAAAAAGAAAAGAGAGGGAGGAAAGAAGACAGGGAGACAAATAGAATACATGCATTTTTGCACTGGTTGTTCTGCTGAGGCTACTTACAATTGTTGCTGCCCCTCTTTATGGCCTGAAATTTAAACAGGGTCAGAGCACGCTCAATTGTCAATCTATCTGGTTATCCACTTTCCTTCCCTCTCCTTTCCACCTCTTCCTCACTTTGGCAGTTACTCTGCCTTGCAAGGGCCTGGTAGGGGCAGGGTACTGCAAGTGATGAGGAAGAAAATCCAAACTAAGAAACTTGGAGTCTAACTTCTGTAAGGTATAATATTATCCACGTGTTATTAACTGTTAAAAGTTTTACTGTTCTATCAAGTAAAACTTTTAACAGTGGGCATACATATGTATTCTTAGGTTATAGATTTTTGATTGTGCAGCATAGTCTTCCCCACACATAGCCCAGAACTTCCAGACTAACCATATAAAGTGTTGGCAAGGATGCTGAGCAGCTAGAACACTCGTACATTGTTGGTAGAGATGTAAAATGATACAACCACTTTAGAAAGCAGCTTGGAAATTTCTTATAAAATTAGATATACACTTACCATGTGACCTAACAATCACACTTCTAGATATTTACCCAAGGGAAATGAAAATAGGGTATCCACACGAAGAGTTGTATGCAATGTTCATAGCAGCTTTAGTCATAATAGCCCAAATCTGGAAATAATCCAAATGTCCATCAGTAGGTAAAGGGACAAATAAATTCAGATATAGCCATACAATGGAATACTACTTAGAAGATACATAACACTTTTAGCAAGCCACCTGGACCTGAAAGATATAACTAGGATGGCTCTGTGGAAGGACAACGCTGTACAAATGCAAGGTATTATTTTCCTTGGTTTTAGTCTGTACTCTTCCTAACGATCTCCATCACTCATTGCCTACATTGGATTATAGTGCCTCAGTGCCTGTTTTAGTGGATGAGAACCTCAGTTCTATTCAACAAGTGTACACTGAGAGCCTCTACGCATGGAGCCCAGCACTATGCCACGTACTGCCAGAGACACAATAAGAAGTACACCAGGTCCCAAAAGTAAGGAGCTGACAATTTTGCATGGGAAACAGCACTAAGGCATAAAAATAATTGAGAACAATATCAGACATTACAATAAACATTTCCAATGCCTATTTCCTGCTTACATTCAATAAAAGCAACAAGAAGAAAAATAACCACAATAACTTAAGATTTTTTTTTGTGTGTGAGGAAGATCAGCCCTGAGCTAACCATCCATGCCAATCCTCCTCTTTTTGCTGAGGAAGACCAACTCTGAGCTAACATCTATTGCCAATCATCCTCCTTTTTTTCCCCAAAGCCCCAGTAGATAGTTGTATGTCATAGTTGCACATCCTTCTAGTTGCTGTATGTGGGACACGGCCTCAGCATGGCCAGAGAAGCGGTGCATTGGTGCGTGCCCGGGATCCCAACCCGGGCCGCCAGTAGCAGAGCGCACGCACTTAACCGTTAAGCCACGGGGCCAGCCCTCACATAAGAATTTGATTAAAACTTTAAGATATGCCTTCTCTCGCTTGTCCTCTCTCACTTCATAATTGGCACAAAGGGACATGAGATGGGACAGCCAATTTGTCCTATGACGTCACCTGCCAGAGACTGAGGCTCTACTTTTGGTCTTCCTGCTTATCTTAATAAATCATCATGGTGCTATCATATATTAAATTTTTAACCCTTCACTGAACTTATTTTGTCTTCAGCATGTAGCAGCATCTCATGTAAGTTATTCTAACCTCTTTAAAAGACTTTATTTAATTTGATTTAACTTTAATTTTCAGACCTCAAAGCAGACTCTTTACGTAGAGTATTCTCAAACCTAGGGCTTCTTTCACATATTCTGTAAGCCTCTATTCATAAATTTGATCAAAAACATTCTCACACTTAGACTTTGCAAGCTGGAGACCTAACCTGTTAATTCATCATATACGAAACTTTCTAATAAAAACTTTTAAACAAAAATCCACATAAATTTAGAGGATTTTAGGGGGAGGTGTAAATTTATCCCTGTAAATCCGTATTTGCTTTCCTAGTTCCCTCACATAACAGCAGCTCACAGTCAGGCAGCAGGCCAGTGTTTCAGGTGCAGTTACTTAAACGTGGGAAAACAAATTTACATGGCATGAAAAATGTCTGAATATACTAAGATGGCCAGAGAAAAGCACGTCTAATTTACCAAATGTTGGGGGCCAGCCCTGTGGCGTAGCAGTTAAGTGCACGTGCTCCACTGCTGGCGGCCCCGGTTCGGATCCTGGGTGCGCACCGATGCACCACTTGTCAGGCCATGCTGTGGCGGTGTCCCATATAAAGTGGAGGAAGATGGGCACAGATGTTAGCTGAGGGCCAATCTTGCTCAGCAAAAAGAGGAGGATTGGCATTGGATGTTAGCTCAGGGCTGATCTTCCTCACAAAAAAAAAAAAAAATTTACCAAGTGTTTTAGTCACGTTTCTCCACAGAAACAGGACCAATGGGATATATGTATATATCTATATAGATAGAAAGACTTATTATAAGGAATTGGCTCACACGACTACAGAGGCCGAGAAGTCCAAGATCTGCCATTGGCAAGCTGGAGACCCAGGAAAGCCAATGTGTAGTTGGAGTCTGAAAGCCCACAGGCTCAAGACCCAAGAAGAACAGATGTATTAGTCCAAGTCTAAAGGCTGGAAAAGACCAATATCCCAGCTCAAACAACCAGGCAGGTGATGCTCTCCCTGTCACAGGAGGGTCGGTGTTTTTGTTCTATTCAGGCCTTCAACTGGTTGGATGAGGGTCACTCACATTAGAGATGGCAATCTGCTTTATTCAGTCTACTAGTTCAAATGTTAATCTCACCCAAAAACACTCTCACAGACACAGTCAGAATATTGTTTGACCAAATATCTGGGGACCCTGTGTCCCAGCCAATTTGACACATAAAGTTAACCGTGACACCAAGCTCACTAGCCATAGACTGTCCAGCCCAGAGTTCTCTCATCTATGGTTCTAGATTTTTCATGCTGTTCTTACAGGGCTCCACATGACGTCTACTACATTCCTGAAAAATCATAAAATTGTACTATTTAGTTGAGACTCATCTATTTAACCAATCAGAAATAGATAAAAATCAATGAGGAGTTAGGCATTACACAGA